GCACAGTACGGTGATGAGGCACTCAGCCGCAGAAAGACATTTGAATGGTGTAAACGTTTAAAGATGGCCCTACGTCCATCAGTGATGATCCCGGCCGAGGTGGTTCCCAGCCCACAGCAGTCATTCCTGTGAACATTCAGCGTGTGGAACGTCTGATCCTGGATAATCGATGCAAAACCTGTCGTGAAATTGCACACAATGATGATGAAGTGAGGCAGGCTGTCCTAGGATGGTTCAGGCATGTTGACAAACCTTTCCATGCCGAAGCTTTCTAGGCATTTGTTAAATGCCGGGATAGGTGTGTAAATGTAGCAGGGGAGTATGTTGAAAATAAATGCAGTTTCCACCCCTTGAAATTTGGTCTTTTATTATATAAACTCAAACGTCCCAGTTTGACTTGAACTCCATATATACAGTTGTGTTCAAAATTATAGCAGTGTGTTGAAAAAAGTGAATAAAGCTCAAAATCCTTCTAATAGCTTTTATTTCCATACACACAAATGCATTGGGAACACTACACATTCTATTCCAAATCGAAAACATGAAGAAAAATATATCAAATTTGTGTTGTTCCTCTAAAACAATTGAAGAAAAGTGAATATTAGACTGTTCAAAAAAATAGCAGTGTTTGTATTCTTCTTTACAAACTCAAACATTCACTATATAAACTGAAAAATGTTTGAAGATTTTACTTTCCTTTGAATCACTTAATTAATATTTAGTTGTATAAGCACTGTTTCTGAGAACTGCTGTCCATCTGTGTTGCATGGAGTCAACCAACTTCTGGCACCTGTGAACAGGTATTCCAGCCAAGGATGATTGGACTACATTCCACAGTTCTTCTCTATTTCTTGGTTTTGCTTCAAAAACTGCATTTTTGATGTCACCCCACAAGTTTTCTATTGGATTAAGATCCGGGGATTGGGCTGGCTACTCCATAACGTCAATCTTGTTGGTCTGGAACCAAGATGTTGCACGTTTACTGGTGTGTTTGGGGTCGTTGTCTTGTTGGAACACCCATTTCAAGGGCATTTCCTCTTCAGCATAAGGCAGCATGACCTCTTCATGTATTCTGATGTATTCAAACTGATCCATGATCCCTGGTATGTGATAAATAGGCCCAACACCGTAATATGAGAAATATCCCCATATCATGATGCTTGCGCAACCATGCTTCACTGTCTTCACAGTGTACTGTGGCTTGAATTCAGTGTTTGGGGGTCGTCTGACAAACTGTCTCCAGCCACTAGACCCAAAAAGAACAATCTTACTTTCATCAGTCCACAAAATGTTGCGCCATTTCTCTTTAGGCCAGTCAATGTGCTCTTTGGCAAATTGTAACCTCTTCAGCACATCTTTTTTTCAACAGTGGGACTTTGCGGGGGCTTCTTGCAGATAGCTTGGCTTCACATAGGTGTCTTCTAATTGTAACAGTACTCACAGGTAACTTCAGACCTTCTTTGATCTTCCTGGAGCTGATTGTTGGCTGAGTCCTTGCCATTTTGGCTATTCTTTTATCCATTCGAATGGTAGTTTTTCGCTTTCTTCCACGTCTTTGAGGTTTTGGTTGCCATTTTAAAGCATTTGCGATCATTTTAGCTGAGCAGCCTATCATTTTCTGCACTTCTTTAAATGTTTTTCCCTCTCCAATCAACTTTTTAATCAAGGTACGCTGTTCTTCTGAACAATGTCTGGAACGACCCATTTTCCTCAGAATTTCAGAGAGAAATGCACTGTAACCAGCATGTACAACATTTGTTGCCTTCCTTCCTTAAATAAGGGCAATAATTGCCAGGTTTAGTACTACTTTTAAATCATAACCTATGGAATGATAGGTTTACAAAGATTTTAAATAGCTTTAGAAATCTGTGCAATTTTAACTTAAAAAAGAAGTTCGGGAATAAAAAAAAAATAAACTTACAGATGGTGTATATTAGATGCTGCATCTGTCCCCCGACACCTTTAAGACCAAGAACTGAACAAACAAATACCACTGATCACTCAGTTCTTGGTCATCAGTGAGAAGAGAGTCAGTGACTGTAGTTCACCGGCTTTCTGCTCTGCCCATCCAGCACTCACTGGAATGCGGAGCTGTGTAAGGGGAGGAAGCAGCTGGCTCAGGCTTTCAGCAGCTCACTGAGAGGCTAAGCCAGCTGCTGCTCAGGAATCTGTGTGAATCCCAACTTTAAAGTCAGAATCTCTCCAGAGTCTGGGCTAGCTCAGGGATGTCAGCTGACAATGGGCATTAGCCTGCTGTTGGCTGAATAGTAGATACAGGAGTGCTGAACTAAGTGCACCTACTGGAGAAGAAGGGCCAAGAAAGGTTTGGCCCTACTTGTCCTTTAGGTCTGTAAGCAAGATACACCAGAATCCTCATCCTGATGCTTTTATAATTTTCGTACTGTCTATTCCTGAAGACTACATGGAGATTCAGATCAAACTATGGGCATCTTCTTGCATGGAATATGGAATTTTCAACAATGATTTTAGGTTTACTGCAGTTTTTTTTTTTTCTATGTAGTTACACATCTAAAAGGATGTTAGGGGTAAAAATGTAGTAAAGGCAGACCCCCCAACCTGACAATCATTTTAATGATTCCAGAGGGTGCACTGGATAAACTGAGCAACTACAGAACAGAAGCATGTAATGTGCAATAGGTTTTCAAAAAATTCTCTCAATGTATAAAGGTGAACTGCAGGAGATTGACAAAAACAATCAGTTTCACTTAAAAAAATACATTATCTCACTGAGGCCATGGAAACATGGGCTGATTATTGGTTAAAATGTTATGCATGTTTCTTGGACACTATAGAAATTCTGGTCAAGCATCGAATCATTAAATAATTACCATATCTGTAAGTGATAGCACACACCTTCAGCCAAACAGAACATGGGGATCAGCCAAAAGTGAGGTCTTTTTTTGGACCAATAAACTATTTTTCTCCAGAAATCTAGGGCATACAATTCATACAGGATCCTAAGATATGGATAGAGTCAGAGGTGCCACTGGGCCTTCACTTATCTCTGGAGGGACTAGCAGGGATCACTGTAGGCCCCTTTTATGAGTAAAGAAAAATGTGCAGACTCTTGAATCTGTACAAATGAAAACAACTTCCTGGGTACAGCATTATAAGCAGAACTCTAAGTGGATTTAAAAGACAACCATATAAGCATTGCTGGGTGGTAGATGAATCCAATCAAACAACCAGCATGCAAGCAAATTACGCCTTTACTGCCAATACAATGGATATAGTACACCCACTGTTATGCTTAAAAGCTTGTTTCTATGGAGGGTCTGCGATTACATGGATACATAAGGGAAGTCTGTTAGCTCATTCCATATGCAAGTTCTGTTTCTTGCTTAGAAGTGCTGTAAATAGTCAGGTTGAAATTAAGTTACATTAACAATCAGGTGAACACTGTGACAGCCAATCACGGAAGATCACATGATCGCTGATCTTTCCCATCCCCTAGGCATTCAGAACCTTTTAAAAGGATGCCGGAAAAGGTGGGAAGGGTTTATAGTGTACATGCAACCAGAACCTTTCTTTTAGTTTTTCATTGTGTTGGAAAGGGTTAAACCCCTATTTTTTTGTTGTCTGTTTCCCAATGGGAAGACTTCTCTTCACTTCCTGTCCCACAGATTTAACAGGAAGTAAGAGGAAATCTCAACAAAGGGACAGCTATCACTAGAGCAATTGTCCCCAATGTTGTCCCCAATTAACCCTCACATCCTGTTCTTTTGACAGCTGTAGAATTTTGGATTTTCTGACAATGGTCTTCAGGACTAATAGAGAGGGTAAATCTACCTAATAGGGACACAGACCACAAAAAACAACTTGACGGGGTTCCAATCCCACACTACTCAATCCAAAACTAAAGAAAAAAAAAATGGCTATACATAATCAAGGTAAACATTGCAGCCCTGAAACCCTTATGTAGCATCCCTTTAAGATTTTGTGTTTCTGCAGCAATAGATGCAACATACAGTGTAGCGTTGTTCTGACACTTCACAGCTGTCTATTTTGTTAGCTGCTCTTCAAAGCTCTGATTGATTTTAAAGCAAGTTGATGCTTGGGATGAAAAATGTCTCTCCCTGTAAACATCTTTCTCCTTCAGGATTCATTCTAAATATCATTGTGAACTTTTGGCATTTAATACACATTCTTTCAGGAAGCCGTTCTCACAAGTTCCCCACTGATGATTGATTGGAGGGATGCTAGCTCCAATACCTTCTATCCCACAACAATAGGCAATGCACAATAGGCACAAAGCCCTACTTGTCCTATTTTTTTTTTTTTGGGGGGGGGGATAATTGGGGTCATAGTACAAGAGCAGCAAACAGGTGACTGAGGATAAAAAAAGGCTAAAATGCACAAATCTATTAACCAAAATAATGTTCTATAGACCTTGTGCCTCATCATATTTATTTCCCAAAATATGTACATTGAAAGTTGTCTCAGACGTGCCCTAAATATTTTATGTGCTCAAACTAGAGTTGCCACCTCATCCCTTTAAACCCGAACACACATTAATTACACATGTTCTGAGGCTAATTTAATGCAGATAAGGCACCAAGTGAGTTTAATTACCACCTTAATCAGCCCCAAAACCTGTGTAATTAATATGTATTCGGTTTTAAAGGGCTGAGGTGGCAACCCTAGCTCAAACATTTAAAACAAATAATGAAATAACTTAAACAGGGCACTTGATATGTAAATGCTGCAATAAATATAGTATAGTATGAACAGTTATGGTATGTTTTTAGTTAACATCCAATACCAGAGTTTCAGAGTTTGAATTTCACTCTAAAATTTAGCAGCATGTCTCCAGTAAAATCAGAAATACACACTGAAATATTATATATATATATAGATAGATAGATAGATGGATAGATAGATAGATAGATAGATAGATAGATAGATAGATAGATAGATAGAAGGAGGGACTAGAATTAGACTTTAAAGAGGAACTCTGGAAACTCTACCAAAAGGTTTGCTTAACCTCTTCCCATCTGGCCCATGTCGATAAACGGCTGGATAGGAGCGCAGGGTGGACATTTCTAAATGCCCACCCCCCCTGCATCCATTGCCTGTGGGCGCTCCCTGGGAGTGCATGGCACCGCGATCGGTGACCTCTGTGTCCAGAGGACACAGCAGAACACAGATCGCTGTACGGGACCTCTGTGTGAGGTCCCGATCATGTGATCACTGATTGACCAATGAGTGCCCGCTGTGACCTCGCTCTGTGTGAGGTCCCGATTTATGTGATCACTGATTGGCCAATCAGTGATCACATGAATAGTAGTAAACAAGATGTCACTTCCTGACATCATTGCTTACTACTTGTGAAATCTGTCAATGATCACAGAGGTCACATGTTACAAGGCTATTCACAACAGCCTTGTACCATGTGACAAGCTGTGACCAATCACAGCTCGCACAGTATTTCTCAATGGCTGCAGGAATGCAGCCAGAGAGAAGGTGAAATGATTGCTTTTACAGCCTATATGGGTGTAAAAGCAATCAGTGTAAAAAAAAAAAATCATCACCCCCACAAGTATTACAGTGTCACTATGGTGACACTGTACTGCTAGGGTGACAGTATGTTGAAAAAAAATGTAAAGAAAATGTAAAAAAAAGTTATTTTTTGTTATAAACTAATTTGGGTAATTTTTTTTTACTAAAAAGATAGATTAATTCATTTTGGCCAAGATGAAGAAAAATTATTTATTTGCATAATTTTATAAGAAAAACACTTTTTTTCCCCAAACGTTTTGGACTTTTTCATTTATATAGCAAAAAAATAAAAATCCCAGTGGTGAATAAATACCACCAAATAAAGTTTTATCTGTCGCAAAAAAAATGCTAAAAAATTCATATGGGTACAGTGTTGCATGACTGCGCAATTGTCATTCAAAGTGTGATAGCACTGAAAGCTGAAAATTGGTCTGGACTGGAAGGGGGTGAAAGTGTCTGGACTTGAAGTGGTTAAAGGCATTTGCTGCATTTACTAAAACTGATGTGACCTGCCCTTGTGAAATTGTTCCAAGCAGTAAATCGCAGATTTCAGAAGCCTATTTAAGCACAGCTGAAATTCTTAAGCACTGATAAAGGGGGAGCATGTTTGACCCCCAAAACACATTCGATGTATTCTGTTATGAATCTATTTTATTATTAAGTTGTCTCAGACATTTGTTTAGCGTTATCATTGGATTGTATGTATGTGAATTCTCAATTTTGGATCCCTTCCCTGTACCTTGGGGTAGTCTCTGTTTTGTGGAGTGCTGACGAAACACAGCCAGTGTGCCCAGTGACACTTAGAAGTCCAGTGCCCCATTTTTCAATGACACTTAAAAGTCCATTGTCCCATTTTTTCTTGTGTTTTTATACACTGATGGAAGACCGAACAAACAAAATCTTACAGATTTCTCCATCCACACTATACAGGGCAGATGGACAAATCCACCTAGTGGACAAAACTAATTTTGGGTGGTTCATCAGCAACTGGCTGACATTTGCACAGTGAATCGCCTGCTTAACTGCAGTAGTCTTCAAGTCCTTTAAACAAGTGAAAATGACCCAAAAAATAAATATATATAGTGTGAATGAATGCAAAGTATCACTAGAATAATAACATGAATATTAAGTATCAAAACGCAAAGTCCAAAAGTGTTTGGTGACTTAATATTCATGTTATTATTCTGGTGATAATTTAATTCATTCACACTACATATATTTACTTTTTGGGTCACTTTCACTTATTTAAAGGAGCAGTGCCTACCTTTTTTCACTATTTTGTCATTTCAAAAGTGTTGGTTACACTTAAAGGGGCAGCTGCACCTGGTCACAATATTGTTAGGTTGGTGCCGTCTTATTATATATATTTCTGAGCCTTCAAGTCCTGCTGCTATACCTAAATATCAGGTCGTTCTGATGGGCTCACCCTATCCCACCTGCCACAAATACCTTATGGCTAGTGAAGCAGCTCTTTATGGTGATGAGTTAAAATATGGAGGGTGGAGGTTAGGTTAATGGCAAGCTATGTGGAAATGTCAGAGCTTTGCCATTTATGGCATAGTAACAGGAACTAACTATAAAGTGTTCCTTCAGTGGATTATGGTGCCCAACCAACTAGTGCAAGTGATCCTTGGTAACCCCACAAAATGCTGTTGAGGCTGTTCTGAACTAGGTATGTTCCTATAAAGCTGGTAGACATGTCCATTTTTCCAAAGCTTAAGGTGTTACTAAACCCAGGACCCTGCATTCACTATATCTGGTCTCCCACAGTAAACAGAACATAGAAAAGTGATTATTTTAGTAAATATAAATTGCTAAACACCTTTTTTCATCAGCAGTTAGAGCAGACTCGGGACTTCTATCAGTGTTCAGCGGAGCACTGGTCAAAGCTTGTAGGACGAGTTTTCATTCTGCTCTAAGAGGATGCAGGACCCCTGACCTCTGGCTGGACAGTGCTGATCACATGCACTCTCCAAAAAAAAAAAAGAAAAAAAAAAAAACCTCTCTAGCAATACACACCAAACTGAGCATGTACAGAGTGTCTCCACACAATATGTCTTATCAGGAGATAAGAGGGAGACACTGGAAGAAGGGGAGGGTCAGAGAAGACAGGATCAAAACAGCATTTTTGCAGAGGATTAACCCCCTAGATTTCACACTGAGTATATCAAGCATGCTTTACTGCATATACAGACTGATTTTACGGTTGTGGATTTAATAACGCTTCAAGTTTATATAATTTTACATTTTCTTTTTCAGCAACTGCTCCTTATGAATCTATATAAAGTGTTACTAAGTTTGAAACCCTCAAAGATCTCCATGATCCTCATGTTTTGGCAGCCATGAAAGAAACAATAAAAAAGCATGGATCTCTCATATTCTGCACTTGAAAAAGGTCAAATCTAGGCTACATTTCACACTAATCAATGAGAATTTTTCTGCAAAATTGCACGGAACAATGCTCACATTTCAAAAGGTCTGGGAATTCTGGGTCACACATTTTTTTTACCACCTGACATTGACCATCACCATCTCGATCTATGAGGTACTTTTCTTATTACTGCTGTGGCACATACAGTTGTGTTCAAAATAATAGCAGTCAGACATCACTAACCTGATCAATCACTGTTTTTGGTAGAAATGATATTTCTACATGGCAAATAATTTACTAGCAGGTGTAGTAGAGTAATAGAAATCCAACAGACCCAACAGTCATGACATGCATGCTGCTGATTCTGTGTAATTGAATCACTAATTGAAAGGGGCATGTTCAAAATAATAGCAGTGTGTGGAGTTCTATTAGTGAGGTCATTCATTCTTTGAAAAACAGGTGGCAATTATTGCCCTTATTTAAGGAAGGAAGGCAGCAAATGTTGTACATGCTGGTTACAGTGCATTTCTCTCTGAAATTCTGAGGAAAATGGGTCGTTCCTGACATTGTTCAGAAGAAGAACAGCGTACCTTGATTAAAAAGTTGATTGGAGAGGGGAAAAAATATAAAGAAGTGCAGAAAATAAATGATAGGCTGCTCAGCTAAAATGATCGCAAATGCTTTAAAATAGCAACCAAAACCTGAAAGACGTGGAAGAAAGCAAAAAACTACCATTTGAATGGATAGAAGAATAGCCAAAATGGCAAGGACTCAGCCAACAATCAGCTCCAGGAAGATCAAAGAAGGTCTAAAGTTACCTGTGAGTACTGTTACAATTAGAAGACGCCTATGTGAAGCCAAGCTATCTGCAAGAAGCCCCCGCAAAGTCCCACTGTTGAAAAAAAGATGTGCTGAAGAGGTTACAATTTGCCAAAGAGCACATTGACTGGCCTAAAGAGAAATGGTGCAACATTTTGTGGACTGATGAAAGTAAGATTGTTCTTTTTGGGTCTAGTGGCCGTAGACAGTTTGTCAGACGACCCCCAAACACTGAATTCAAGCCACAGTACACTGTGAAGACAGTGAAGCATGGTTGCGCAAGCATCATGATATGGGATGTTTCTCATACTACGGTGTTGGGCCTATTTATCGCATACCAGGGATCATGGATCAGTTTGAATACATCAGAATACTTGAAGAGGTCATGCTGCCTTATGCTGAAGAGGAAATGCCCTTCAAATGGGTGTTCCAACAAGACAACGACCCCAAACACACCAGTACAACGTGCAACATCTTGGTTCCAGACCAACAAGATTGACGTTATGGAGTGGCCAGCCCAATCCCCGGATCTTAATCCAATAGAAAACTTGTGGGGTGACATCAAAAATGCAGTTTCTGAGGCAAAACCAAGAAATAGAGAAGAACTGTGGAATGTAGTCCAATCATCCTGGGCTGGAATACCTGTTCACAGGTGCCAGAAGTTGGTTGACTCCATGCAACACAGATGTACAGCAGTTCTCAGAAACAGTGCTTATACAACTAAATATTAATTAAGTGATTCAAAGGAAAGCACAATTTTCAAGCATTTTTCAGTTTATATAGTGAATGTTTGAGTTTGTAAAGAAGAATACAAACACTGCTATTTTTTTGAACAGGCTAATATTCACTTTTCTTCAATTTTTTTTTAGAGGAACAACATAAATTTGATATATTTTCTTCATGTTTTGATTTGGAATAGAATGTGTAGTGTTCCCAATGCATTTGTGTGTATAGAAATAAAAGCTATTAGAAGGATTTACTTTTTTCAACACACTGCTATTATTTTGAACACAACTGTAGCTGTTTAGAGTTCCTCCCGGCCAAACCTTCCCATATGGAAGAAAAATATTTTCGAAACATTTTAAAAATATTCTTCCCAAATATATTGACATATATATTTGAAATGCTACAATTTTGGCCATATTCAATATATTTCAAAATATATTTCAATTAAAAAATAAATAAATAAATAATATATATATATACACACTGCATGTTGAAATGCGTTTTTGTTACAAAATATATGAAAATCTACATTTTTTGGAATGCATTTACAAATATATGTAATCATATATGTTGAAATGACTTTTTTATGTGTTAAAAAATCTGAAGAATGTATTTTAAAACATACATATTTAAAAATCATGCGTGTCTGCTTGAACTAAGGGCAGATGGATTCCATGAAGTCAATGCTTCATGAATCATCTGCCCTTACTCAAGATGACCTTGGCCAGAAATGCTATAGGGTGTGTTCTTCAAAGTGGTAATCTCAACAAAATAAGACGTGGAGACATGGACGGATGGGGGCGCTTGCTTTGAATATTAAAAATGAATTTAATTGCATTTTTGCTTTGTGGTGCACAGACAGAGCTGCTGTTAGAAACCACAAGGCCCCATAAAGCCAAACTGAGATCCCCCCCCCTAAAAAACAACACAGTTTGCTATGCTTCAGTTATGAATGAACACAGTGAGTGATCGGTACCGATCACTCATTGTTGTTCATCCAGAAAAGAAAGGGGCTGGTGAATGTGACATGTTTACTGGACCCTTCCCTGACTCTCTATCATGAAGGACCCAATTGTGTGCTTACAGCTTTCGGTGGGAAGGAGA